TACAGTGGATACTATTGACATCAAACACTTTTCTGTCCCTCACCTGTCCCCAGCTAAAATAAGAAATAAGAGCTGCATCCTTCCTGCTCTGTCTGCATCTCTGTCTAAGCCCAGTGCCCAAGGCCATGGAGTATAAGGAGAGGCTCACTCCTGCTTTGTTTGCCCTTCCCACCACCTCAGTGCCTATCCCAGCCTGCAGAGTGTGGTGGGTGGCTGCCATGGGTGCAGCCTGGTGGAAGCAGGCAGTGGGCACTGAATTTATCCTCTCTACCACCTCATCTGTGACTCACTGGCTTTTACTGGGGGAAAAGACAGTAAAGTCTTTTAGGGCAGAAGTCCTTATGTACTATCTACTTGCTCACAACTCCTGATTTGCCTAAATTCCACTTGCTTCTCTTGTGACCTTTGTCCTTCCTTTGCCCAAGAAGGCTTTTCTGTTCTTGGATGTGTAAGTGCAAAAAAGTGTTGATGTGTTACAGCTCAAAGAGAGCTCCCAAGCACCTCGAGCTAAAACCAATGTACCAGGAGCAGAAGACACTGTGGGCCCCCAGCTTTGTTTTGAGTCATTAGCTGTGACCTTTCCTAATATCCATGGTGCTCATCTCCAGTTTTCACTTGTGAGTTGGGAGGTTATCAGTGACCTGTGATAGCACAGCGTGTGAAATGAGCTGATGCTACTAGAAAGGTTGTGTGTTTAGCTGCAGCTCTGCTGTCTTGGAGGTGTCTGCACAGATAAACCAGCACTACATTTCCCAAAAATGACAGTTCACCTTCCAGGGACACAGTTCAGAGGATGAGCTGGCTACAGCACTCAGGAAACATGTGCTGAGCTCAATCTCTGTTAGACAAGACTTTTGAAGTGGATGGAGTGATGATGGATATTGATGCTGGAAATTTACACTACGGTGAGCAAAGTCAAAAACTCAGAGTGTTCAGGAGTTTGGCCATTGCCTTGTGTTGGTAGAAAATACACACTGGGGCTCTGGAGTTACTTGTAGCCTGCCACCCATGTCAGCAGGACACTGCTGCAAAGCCACACTCCGTGTTTCCCTGACACAGCAACACACCTGGCACCAGCAATTTGGCTGAGAGGCCAACCTGGCAGCCCCCATTGCATCTCTCATCTCAGGGGCTAATGCCTGGTCTGAGCTACAGCCCTGCAGGGCAGAAAACAGGGCTTGGAGAGAGGGGAAAACAGAATAAAAGAGAGATGGCTGGGCCTGAGTAGGGAAAGGAATTTGGAGCAGGAGCTAGGAAGGACATCTGGGAGCCAGATTCCTCTCTGTGAGCCCACTGCAAGGAGCTGGCTTGGTTAAACGAGAGACATTCTTGTTCCTCTGCTGAAAGCTGCAAAATATGATAAGAGAAGGTGATCTAGGGTTATGGGAAGAGGTGACATCTAGGGAAATCATTGTGCTTTTCATGTCTTTTAGCTCAGGGAATAGTCTTACAACTCTTTTAGAACAGTGAGGCAAAATTTGAGACCATGTGTTGACCTCTGCCCTGCATGTTCTATAATGAATGTTCCTTGGAGTGGTGTGAGGGACATGTGGCACTGACTGCTGTTGGCTTGTAAGCTTATCAAAAGTAAAGCAAATTTTCATCAGAGCAGAGTGGGTTGATGGGGCTCGGGAGTGGATTACCATCAGAGCTGCTCTGAGCTGCACACCAGGAGTTCAGGGGCAGACAAGCAAACCAAGCAGTGAAGCTCTCGGCTGTTTTTCTCTCTTTTGACTCAGAGCAGAGACTGAGCCAGGGGATAGGAGTGTAGGCGTTGCAGAAGTTCACGTGAGTGGATAGTCTCTGGCATGAGTAATTTCTTGGACTGGGTTGGCTTACGTTTGCTTTTTGTCGAACTCACGTTGGCTGAGCCAAAGATAGCATCCTTTTTCTTTTTAAACCCATTTTTCCATATTCTACTGGCTGGAAGAGGGGGCGCAGAAGTGACATGTCTGCAACAATGCCATAAATCCAGACAGAAATAGAATAAGCAGTTCCCTCTGGTTCCGGTGTTTGTATCTGAGTTTAACCAGCCTGGGCTCCTTGGAGCAGAGCTGTGTCTGTGTGAACCTGTTGTGCCTTGGGACCTGGAGCTTGGGTTTTGTTCCAGGACAATATCATAAAACTTTTACAGGAACATCATGACAAAGAGCATGGGAAGAGGAATAACTTAACCCTCTCTTGCTGAAGTTGGTGTTGCAAAGCTCTGGTTTGCCCACGCAGCAAATCTTTTGGTTGAATATTGAGCACTGTGGGGAGAGAGAAAATTCAAGATTTGTGGGGATGGGGAAGAAAAAGCAACCACAAACCTGTGTTTGAGGATTACCATTTCCTAAATGTCTTTCAAGTCCATTTCTGCCCCTGTAGGCCCTGGCATACATCGGTAGTGTCATTTGTTGGCACTCTTGCACTGCATTATGTTCCTGCATTTTAGAGTTGGGCTCTTAATCTATGTTGATTATGTTTTAATTGAATAAATAAATCAGAGCCCAGAATCAATAGAGATGCTTCTATGCTGTTTTATTTTATTTTTCTAGGTTTCCTAAGGACATTTAACTTTTACAACCTTATAACTTGTTCTACAGCATTTGCTAGTCAGCTGTTGCATAATTGTTCTGGGGAATGAGAACCTGGGAATAATATGGCCCAGAAATGCTAAGAAGCAGAAATGAAATTGGCTGATCTCATCTGCCACCATCCCTTCTCTCCAGGGTCAGGGTACCAAGCAGGTCCTGTGTGGACTTTAGTGTTATTCCTGGGTCTACCATTGGCTTGATTTATCACCTCGTGTGTTGGGGCCTTGGATGCCCTTTGCATCTCCCCTCTCCTTTCCAGGCTGACTCTTGGCTGCTTAACTTCAGAATTCTCTGGAGTGGAGCAATCACTGATTTTCTGTCTGAGAAGCCTGTGGCAGTTACAGGCCAACAACTGGAAGATGAAGAAAAACCAAACAAGAGCCATGAAGTGGAAAAGAAGTTGCACTTCTGCAGATTTAAAAATCCAGGTGCCTGTAGTTAGCCAGGAGTAATGGTCTGGGCTAATTCCTGTGAAAAATATTTCTTTTTTTGAACAATGGTTTGGATGGAAAGATTTTGGCTCTATAATAAAAATAAGCAAGAAGAGTCAAGTTTGTAAGTATTTTCTAACCTGACTCTCAGCCTTTTGAATGGTGTGTTCTTGCATAAGCCACACTGGAGCTTCCATTTTCTTATTAGTCAAGCCAAATACATTGTAATACAATAAGATTTAATAATCATTAGGTACTAATGGATGCCCCAGCATGTATAAGTTTGGCAGATCAGAGGCTGCCTACTTTGCATAGCCTGTCTCTCTTTGACCAACTTGCCATTTATGTGTCAGATTGATGACTGGAGAGTTCTTTAAAACCAGGTAATGATCGACTGCTCCTAAAATGAAATTTAAATGAAAACTATCTGGAGCAGCCACTGAGCCAAAGGAAAAGGCAAACTTTTGGCTTGGAAAATTGAAGTAACTTGGTGAGAGTGAAGGCAAACAGAGCTAGATTGTCTGTGGGAAGGTGCTAGTATGGTCTGAACAGTTTTTGCAGTTGAAATTAGGTGAGTTGTTAGGTAATTATTTAGTATTTTTATTATTGACATTGTCAAGCTCTGAATGAGCTCTTCTGCACCGAACTCTGTGTTGCATGTCTGCAGAGAGACTCTGTCCTGTCCAGGGATTTGCAGATAAGTAAGACATGGCAGAACAGAAGACAAATAGCTCATGTTGAGAAAAGACTTTCAGTGTAATAGTTCACTTGACTCAAGAACTTTGGTTTCTGTGAATGCCCTGGTGGTGGCCTGGCTCAGGGGGGCTAGCCCCTAGCACCTACTTTGTCCATGGCATGGATCCTCAGCTGGTTTTCTTAAATTTCCATTCCTGGTGGAGCTGCCTAGTTCTCAAAGCACTGAAAACATTGAGGAGGATGTTTTCTAGCCTTTACTTACTTTGTGTCCTGTTGAGAGGTCCCACTGTTGGCTTGGGCTGTACAGCACAAAGGTCCTTCCTAGAGGTTTTGGACTAGGTTGATTCATCAAAAATAAAGCATGTGAATGAGTCCTCTTTAAAAATGCTTATTCTAACAGGGATTGCAGTGCTGCCTTTGAACAGTGGCTTGAACATCACATGCTCTGCTGTGGTACTGAGTTCTGGGTTTTACTTTTTGAGGTGGGCAGTGGTGGTGACAATTCACATCTCTTCCCTTCCAAGTGAGTGTCCCTACCAGCCTGGATACAAATGGGACTGGGCTGTTTTGAAAGCAGAAAGAAAGAAAAATTTGTTGAATTAGCGTCCTTGGCTGCATGTTGGCATTTGCTCTGGGTATGGGCTTTCCTGCATAAAAGCCTTTTCACAAAGACCTTACTTATGTTATTTTGTGACTGCTTGTTGCAAATCACCACCCTTCACCTTCAATCTGCTAGAAATGGATTGAACTTTTTCACTCCTCCTTGAAGGAGCTCATTTTTGAGATTAAATTTGTGAAGAGGCGTTGAATCAGACAGGTACACATACCAAGAATTGATTTAAAATAAGAATAGGTGCACGTGGCCAGTCACTGGCTGCTGTGGTTTGTAGCTCTGTTCTGTTTGTGATTTGCTCTTGGGATCCAGGTGCTCCAAGCCTGCTCCCAGCTTTGTCCTTCCAGACAGGTATCCTTCTGTAACACATCTTCTCCATCTTACGGTGTGGGGATTGTCCTGCCTCTTCAGCTCAGCAGCAGATTGCTGAATTCCTAATCCTTCAAGTCAGTTTTACACAATGGGACCCTTGTGGCAAATACGTAAGAAAAGCCCCAAAGCAGCATAAATTCTGTGAGATGGAGGCTTGCTGTTAGTTCTGGAGGGAGCTATAGGATTTCAGCATGTTTGTCCCTGCAGCCCTAGAGTTATTGCTGGGCATGGGTGCAGCTCCATGAGGACAGTAGGAAACCATGTGCCAGGCCAAGTGGTTTGAATAACTGGAACTTTTCTTTCTTCTTTAAGGTGAATCCTGGTGGCAAGACCCTTGAGGAGAGGAGGTGCAGTTTAGATGCAGAAATTGATTCTCTGACCAGCATCCTGGCCGACCTAGAGAGCAGCTCTCCATACAAACCTCGGACTCAACAGGTTAGTTGCACGTTGTGTAAACACAGAGTGGGAAAGGGGCCAGCATCGACTTCTGGAGTCAATTTGCTAAGTGCTTGGTATTTGTTGTGAGAAGGCCAGCCAGTTCCTCCTGATAGCATCCAGATGTGGCTGTCAATGGGGAGAAGGGCGCAGCTGCTCTGAGGGGGCACCGGCTCAAAAGCTGCCACACCTCTGAGCAAAGGGCCTCCGATCGCGATTGTCAGATTGCCACAGAGATTGTTAAAAAAATACTTGCAAAAAATGGCATTTCATTTGCCTCAACTTTCAACCAACAATGACTCGTGAATTAGAACCTTCTCGGTTCACAAGGACTTTTGTGCTTTTGTTTTCTTGTTGTTTTTCTGTTCTGTTAACTTCTGTCTGTCGCGCTGCCAGAAGGATCCAGATATCCCCATCTCATGAAGTGGCTTGGATCGGAGCTCAGCTGTCAGGGTGGCTGTAGCCCAGCGAGGCAGACTGGAATTCGCACTTCTCTGCTGTGTCTAGACAAGGACTGCAGGGGTGACAGTGACTTGGCTAATTTTTGTCACTCATCTAGGTAGTGCTTGAGTGGAGCTATTTAAGTTCTGGTGAGATGTCATCTATTTATCAGAGGAAGTGGTGACACCCCAGTGGCACTTTTAAAAGGGCAATTCTTGTGATCTCATAAAATCATCCTAGATATGTTTGTGCCTTGTCTTTCCTTCCTAGTCTCATAACTGGTCACATTTCTTACATGTGTGTGGGTCTGTAGGCTGTATACAGCTAGATGTATGCTGTATTTCTCTTAGTAAAGCCCCAAAAGTCAAAAGTATTGAAGGGATAAGTCAGTGATGGGTGCACACTCACTATGCATACAAGCCTTCTCTTTGGTTTGTCTTATTTGGTTGTTTTCATTGCTCCCTTTCTTTTAAGTAACGGAGAAGTGATACCTTTGGAACAGAACTAAAGTAGTGATCAGAATCTCTTTAGATTTGCTCTTCTTCAGGTCTGCAAATGGAGCAAAAGCAGGACAAAATCAGATTTGTGCTCTTTTGAAAGTGTCCCCCTGCACACAGAGGCTCTGGGTTTCCATCCTTTCTGCAGGGACCTCCCTATAAACTCGGCTTTAATTTTAGTGGCATGTGCACAGTTAATTGCATAAACTTACAGACTTGTCCTTGAAAAAAAGTCTAATTTGGGTTAGTCAGTGAAAAAGATCAACAATATAAACCAGATACAATTCAGCCCTTTTCCCAGTGGGTTTCTGTTGTGATAAATGAGATGGGTTCTGCTGAGGCATTGTGGTGAATAACCAATGTTCAGTTTGTTTGCATGGGCCAAACACACACCAATGCACACTGTTACTGGGAAATGCTTTACTCAAAACGCTGCTAGAGTTGGGTGAAAGAGATTTGTGTTCCCCATTTCCCTCAGCAATGCCCACAGTCAGCTCTGACATCTTTGTTGGGGACATGCAACTTCCGTACCCATTTCATGGAGCATCTACAGTTTGCTGACAGTGCTGCTGCCTGTTTCCTGATGCTTCTTCCTTTGGGATCTGGGGTTCTGTGAATAGGTTGGTTTTTCACTTTTATTTTATGCCTTTACCATTAAAAGAAAAAAATTTAAAAATCAGTGTCCAATAACAGTGTCCAAATGCAAACTTCTGCAGCTGTATTTGAGTTTGGAGGATTTGAAGTCATAGCCCAAGTTTGGGACTTGATCTGACTTTGAAAGTTCGTTGCCCTCCAAGATGATGTGCTCATTCCCATTCATGAATGAATGTTCCTATGGCTTTCTGCCACGACTTGGGTGAGGGCTCTGCAGACTTGTCACCTGCTCCCTGGTGCACTACACCCTGTGTGGCCTGGTGGGCAGAAGAAGCTGAACTCCGTATCTGAGATCAAATCCCAGCTTGATTTGTTCAGTCTATCTGACTTCCCAGCATCTCCTGGTTAATGTAATGATGTCCTGTGAAAAGTACTGCTACAGCAGCTTCTAACTAGACCTGTTAGAGAAAGAAAATGCCAGAGTTGGATGTATCATCTGCTGTAATTAAAGAGTACTCAGACAAGTCCTTGAAAGGTGGAACTAGAACGTAAAGCTTTGATATTTTCCTTTGTTTGATCTGTACTAAGTATTAAAACTGGTGAGTCATTTGATGGTCTTATAGTAGGATAATAGATTAGGCTGCAAATTGTGAGGTACTTACTCAGAACATCAGCACATTTATTGGATTACACCTTAGCTGACCTTCCCAAATTTATCAGGATAATGGCTGCAGATAGGAAAGAAGAGCTACGACTTGTTTTCAGAGAAGATGTTTTCAGTTGTGCTTACGTGGTTAAAGCATTATAATAATTTTATAGGAATACCTTGCCCTTGGGGATACTCCTGTTCTTGAATAAGAGAAATTTTATTGTTACATTTCTTTTTCATATTATCTTCAGGACAGTTTTAAAGCAACGTAAGATAAATTGTAACAGAGTCCTTTCTCACTGGAGCAGGAGTGATAGCAGGGTAATGACAAGCAGTTTATTTAACATACACTTCCCTTGGCATGAATTCACACAAAGGGAAGCTCTTTTGATCCTTGGTAAGGGTTCAAGATTGCAAAGACACACACTGCACCAGGGGTGCCCCTGACACAGAGGGATGTAATGTTTCTCAGAAAGGATGGGCCAACATCAACCCCAGACACCGTCCCTTAGCCCTTGCTGTTGAGGACATGGGTGAGTGTGAATCTCTGCACCATCCCTGCATTGCTTACCTGCGTGTTGCTCTGGTGACATTTTTTGTGTGCTGGGTGGGTGACAAGGACACTGCCATGAGCTGAAACTGGCAACCATTAACAGAAGGCAGGGAGAGAGTTTGGATGCCTGTGGTCAGCAGTGCCCTCCTGGTACCTCACGGTCCTGCCGAATTCTAGATAGCTGGGTAGGAAAGAAAGGTGATCTGGGCTGAGTCCGTGTCTTGCAAGCAAAAATCTCTCTGACTGAATCATAGAAGCAGTCAGAAATGATTAAATGCAAGTTTTTTCCTTTCAAAATTGCACATACCTAAAAGCACAGGAAATTACAAGACTAAATCACCATCTTTAGCCTTAACAGAGCAGCATCTAAGGATGTTTTCTGTCATGTGAGGTGGTGTAGGAGAGATTGTATTTAAAGAATTCAGCTAGAACTGAAGTTTTAGAAAAGGTCTGTATGACCTTCACCAGAATGACCAGTTCTAGCCCTCTGGTACAGTAAATTGAAATGGACAAGATGACCAGGATGATCTCAAAATTGCCATGACTGCAGTGGCATATGAGGTTTAACTTGCCTCGGGTGTTGCTGGAAGAACTGCAGATGCACTATGAAAAAAATCTAATTAATTTTTTCCTCTAGTTTGGTGCAGTTTGGAAGTACTAGTGTGATGAATAAAGTACAGAGCTCCTCTTATGTAGCTGCAGTGTGCTTCTGTGTACATATCACACCTTCTAAATTGCAGTAACTCATTGGAAAGTTCAGAGGCAGAGAACCCACTGTACCTTTCATTTGTAAAAGGAGGCATTAGTGAAAGACAAGATATTAGGTGCATAATTTTCATGGATAGGAGTAGGGGCAAGTCATAAATTGTGTGAACCCCCTAAGTAGAGGCCTAGTGAATGCTGTGTTTATCTGACTCCCCTATTAAAGGGTATTTCCCCCAGTTTTTACCTGTTCTGCTTAAATCCTTGCTTAAGAGATCAATGCAGCAAGACCTTAACAAAAAAAAAAAAAAACCCAAAAACACTCCAAACCAAACATGCCAAATTTCAGCCCATAAAACAAATGTTTGCATTTTCTAAAAAACAAGAAAACTTTGTGACTCTGGAAAAAGGGCTTCCAGCAGAGACTGTGAAAGTGAAATACTGGAAATAGCAGCACACGTAAGCTCAGGATTCTTTGTCCCTGCTGTGAATTATGTATTGAATGATGATTGCTTTGTCTGGAATTGGACACCTACCTTCCAAAACTCTTGAGTTTTGTCCTGAATTTCCAACAGAATGTCTGTTTGGCAAAATAACACTTTGTGGGAGGTGTACCAGGTAATAAGATGTACCTGGTCTGATGCTATTTAATGTTTTTCTAAAAGCAGATGCTCTGTGGCCAATATTTGTGAAGTACTTAAATAGCAAAAAAAATCTTGTTTGACCATGCACCATGGCCAAGATGAAATCTGATTGTGTACAAGCTGTTGGGGGCAGCTTGATCCAGAGGGAACTGGGCTGGCGCTCTGGAGACCTGTTTCATTCCCAGCAACCTCTGCTGTGCTAAATGACCTTGAATGTAGTGTTTCCCCTCTCCTTCCTCTCAAAATCTTTTCGGTCCTTGTAGCTTGGCAACCTCTTCAATGTGATTTGCCTCTTACTCCCCATGTGTATGGCATGTAGCAATGTGGAACCTTGGTCTGGGTTGAAGGCCTTTGGGTGATGTGTTGTGCAAACAGGTGGGGAGCATGAAGGCAGAGTTAGGCAAGATTTCTAAGGATTCATGGCTGTGTCCCTGCCTCTGTGTCATTGCCCCCAGTACTAGACACCCGTCACTATCCAACACTTCAATCCAAAGTGAGCACTGTTTTGAAGGAAAAGAGGTTCATTCTCAATGTGAGCTATAGAACAATAAAAATGTAAAGAAAATTAGGTTTAAAAATCAGGGATATATTTTCATTAAGTTTCAAGCATACTGGGAAATAATGTATTGTAATGACTGGAATTTAAAAGGGATTTAAATGTTTGACAGTGCTGGTGGTTATCCTGAAACTTATTTTGGTAACCATTTGGGGATAGTAAAAGTAGAGAAAAGGCAATGGATGTATTTTCTTGCAGAGTGGTGGGACAGGGTTGAAGAGTTTCAGCTCAAGGCAAACCAAAGCAAAATGTTGAAGTGCTGCTGAAGACTCCTGTGAATTTCTAATTGCAGTGCCCCTCTTATAGCTGTGTCAGGAATGCACGGCTGAGAGTTCAGGTGTTTTATCTTGGTTTATGCAGAGCC